CCTTCCTGCTGTTTTAGAGCAGTGTCTGGTGCAATGCTTCCACAACAATAGACCTTGGCTTGCTTTGGTGTTCCAACTCTGCTGGCAAGCAGGACCAGAATGAAGATTTCTTTCTTTAAGATTTATTTGTTTTTATTGGAAAGTCAGATTTACAGAGAGAAGGAGAGACGGAGATAGAGATCTGTCCTCTGGCTCACTCCCCAAGCGGATGCAATGACCAGACCTGAGCCGGTCCAAAGCCAGGGACTAGGTGCTTCTTCTGGGTCTCCCACACAGGTGCAGGGTCACAAGGCTTTGGGCTGTCCTCGGCTGCTTTCCCAGGCCACAAGCAGGGAGCTGGATGGGAAGTGGGGCTGCCGGGATTAGAACTGGTGCCTATATGGGATCCCTGTGCATTCAAGGTGAGGACTTAAACCACTACGCTATCGCGCCAGGCCCCCCATGGAGGGGATTTTTAAAACGTTTTTCTTATTCTAGACTTCCAGATTTCTTTTCCCTCGCTGCCATAACAATTCCAGGATTTATTTTAAAACATTTCAGATCACAGAAATGGATCTGACACCCTGCGGCTGCCAGCACTCCCCATAAAGCTCTCAGTCCTCTCACTTCCTTTGGGACAATGACCTTCCCCTCTTTGCTCTGACTCCCACAGTGTCTCGCTCTTTGTCTAACCACCACTTGCCATCCTCCTCTCTCTGAATATCACACATGGTTGTTCTCATGGGCACTTTTTGTGTCTAAACTGCTGGGTTCCCTGGCGTTGGGTGCATGTGCGTTTACTATAATCATGTCTTGTTATATGATTCTTTAAGCATTATACAATGCCCAGCTTTGCGGTTTTTTCCCAGTTTTTGTACTAAAATCTAGTTTGATAGTAGGGTGTCTGCCCCTGCTCATTTTGGATTCTGTTATCATGAAATATCTTTTTAAAGCTTTGGTGTAAAAAGTCTGTTCTGTGTGTATCTTTGTTGGTGAGATGCATTTCCTCTTAATTTGTTAAAGATTCACTTTATTTATTTGAAAGGCAGAGATAAAAGGAAGAGACAGAGGCTGGCTGCAGGGCCAGAGGGACCAAGAGGAGGAAGATGTACATGAAATTCCACCATGAGTTCGACTTGGGCTTCTGGGGAGGGTGCTCAGTGAGTGTGACTTCCTGGGAGAGAACCGGAAGTCAGGCTCAGCAAGTAAGCTACCTCAAATGCGGGATGTCTGTAGGGGTAGCATGGCAATGGGGCAGCAGAGCATGCTACCAGTGTCCCAGGGCCAGCTGTGCTTCTGCTGTTCTGTGCTCAGTTTCTGGACTTCTCCCACTGATGCACAGACATTGGGAACTGCACGTCAGCCTCCCGAAGCGTCATCAGACACCCACACTTGCTTCTCATCACTTTTCCCTGGTGCCCGTTTGAAGCTGTCTTTTACGGGGAGCGTCAGTCTTCCAATGGCTTAATTTACTGTAGAGAGCCCAAATTGCACCTTCAATACCAAAGGCAGTTTTATTTGTAGGTAAAATAGCTTCAGCAAGATTTGAGTAGATGATGTGGACGAGGATCTATCAGTGCAGTGCTCCAGTGCATTTTCTTGTGTTCATAGGTTTTTTTTCTCTATGTGAATTGTTGTCCAATGGCGCTGTGAATCCAAGAATCCAACAGGCATGTGTCTACTTGGGCTTTTTTCAACAAATTGCTTAAGGGGCTGGTGGTATCCTGAGAGGCAATGATGCCGTGATTGCTTCTCTCAGACTGACCGTGGAAATGTCCCTGGGAGTGTGTCTCACCTGACAGAATTCAGAATGAAGACATGGGGGTCGATAGATTGACTGGAACTGTGATTGGCTTCATCTTATCATTTTCAGCCTAGATGGACACCCAGACTTCTGCATAGAGTTTGATTTAAAATGTTGTGACTCACACTTTCAAGGATTCAGACTAAGCGCATATGAGAATTGAAGGACAGCACTGGCCACAAAGGCGTTACTTGGGGCAGGAAGGGATGGGACATGGCCCAGGAACAATAATTCCTCTCTGGTTTGCACAGCCAATATAGACTTCATTTTTCTTCATATCACCGAATCTGCAGAACCCTGAATGGCATTCAAAATTTTGGCTGAAGGGTCTTTTGCAAACACAGAGGGAATATGTGAACGGGATCACATGATGAGCACCATGCATTGAGCACTGGGGTCACAGTCAGGTGGCATGATAAGTTCTGCAGGCATTGTTGAGGGTTGAGTGGGATCATCATGCCAGCCGCTGTGCAGCCAGAAATATGTGCTATTCCAGGCAGTAGGGGTGAGCACACAGAGCCAGTGCTGACCACGTGGAGCCTGGGGCTCTTCCTCACTGTGCTCACATCTACTCCATGCCTTCCTCACTGTGCTCATTCCACCTGCTCCATGCCTTCCTCACTGTGCTCATTCCACCTGCTCCGTGCCTTCCTCACTGCTCATTCCACCTGCTCCGTGCCTTCCTCACTGCTCATTCCACGTGCTCTGTCCCTGGTGGAGTGAAGACAGAACCTCAGCCATGCGGCTGCCAGCCAGCAGAGCCAATCCTCCCAGGCACGTGCTCCTGCATTTCAAACAACCAGCTTATTCTTATTGTCACTGTGAAAAAATGTGACATCACTTAATGATGGATAAATTCATATAATAATAATAATCTAAGCTGTGCCTTGTGTTGTTTCTCACCCTACCCCCTACATTCCTTTCCACGTATCTAGGGGAAATGCCTGAAGATGTTCTCTCAGCTCTCACCAACCCCCGTCTCTCTGAACTCTTCTTCCCCTTCACACTCCAAGAATTCTAGGCTGTAAAAGCTCAGCTTGCTCAAGGATTGTGTAGTTTCACACGCTTGCTTTGTTTTGTACACCTGCAGCTGGCCATCCTCTGTGAATTTGTTATCTTTACTGATTTGATTTGACTGCGAATTCTCATCTCATTTCCTCTCTGTCCTCATCATACACACATCTCAACACACCTTACTCCTGTGTCCATTTCCAAACCTCCTCTCACATGATTAAATCTTCTCCTTGTAATTAAGTCTGTCCATTTAGACACAGCAAAACTAGTCCATGTGTCTCTCTGTGTCACGAACCCAGTGAATACGATACATCGATCTCAGAATCAAAAATCTCTGCAGAAAGTCTCAGATTCACTTGGCTGCTATTGTTCAATTTACGGAGGAGACTATCAGGTAAATTGTCTTGCAGAGATAGGAAACCCCCTAGGTTGTTCTCCCTGGTGCTCTCAGAGTCCATGTCCCTCGGTTTGCTGGGAGGCAGACCTAGTTTCCTGCTTCACTCACTGACGTGCAGGATGTGGGTGTCAGGATCTCAGGTCCCCGCAGCCCTGTCAAGGATCCCCTGTGCTTCTCGCCTGGTGCACTTCTAGGGCTGTAACTGACATGCAGTATCAGATTGCTTCTAGCTTGATGTGACTGTAGGATGCCTGGGCTGCAATGTGTAGTGGAGGAATTAAGTGCACTTTGTGTATGAAATCTGCTTGATGGTGCACAATCCAGGCTCACATATACATAGATATTTTCATATTTATCTATTTAATCACAGTTAGGTGTTTGTTTTTTAGATAGTTTTGTTCTCAATCTGCTCCAGTCTGAACTGGCGAGTGCATATTCATTGGACCAGTACCAAGAAGAATGTGTTTAATCTGGTTCTTTAGATAAAATTCCAAAATTTTGCATAGAAGGATGGTAGTTTTCCCAAGAAGCCAAGTTGTCACGACCGCTTTCACTGGAGCTGGCCGTGGTCATTGTCTTACTGTGAGGAACCGTGGGAGTGTGTGCCATCTCAGTGGGCACAGAGAGAAGGGATGAGAGAAGATAGTAGGCAGATCAGAACTGTGATCACTCCCTGCTGAAACCTGAGCTCAAGGCACAAATCCAGAATTTGGAGCCATATTTCTGCCTAAAAGAATTTGATTTAAAATTGTGGCACCTGCGTTTTGTAGAGTCCAGAGTAAGATACATGTGAGCATCAAAGCAACACAAACAGAATATTCGCTATAAGAATTTTATTTGACGTAGAAAGAACCTAGCAAATGGGTCAAAACAGGTTTCCCTGAGGTGTAAAAGCAGATAAGGTATTTGTTTTGCTCTGTTCTTCATCTTCTGCGGCAGCAGAGTGAGCCACGGGTGACACCACGGGTTTTGCAGGATCCAATACGGCGTTCCAAATTTGGACAGAAGTTTGTTCTGCAAAAGCAGAGGCCATTTATACCTAGGGACACAGGGCGAACATCAGGCATTGAACATTGGGGTAACAGATGGGTAGCAAAAGGCGTGCTGGAGAAGTTGCATGTGGTTAAGACTCATCACTACGTTGGCTGCAGTGTAGTTGGTATCATGGACAACTCCAAGTAGTAGAAATAAACACAGAACAAGGAGGGAGTCACATGGAACCTGGGACACATTCTCATGGTATTCATTTCTGTGTGGTCTGACCCACCACACATACATATGAGTGACACTTTAGTGATGATTCTAGATTCTAAAGCTCATATAAACAGTTAAGTATTCTCTTTAATTCTACTCGTTTAAGTGAAGAGAAACTAGTCCATGTGTCTCTCCATGCCTTACACCTTGGGGATATCACATGAAAATCTCAGAATCAAAGTCTTCTCCAAAGACAGTTCCAGGTGCATTTGGCTTTCAGAGGTCAGTCTACAGATTTTAATGTCACCAGTGAAGGAGGCAAATCATCCAAGTTACTGTCCCAGGCCATCCCAGTGCCCGCGTCCCATTATTCCCCAGAGTCTCTACAGTTCTGCTTGTGGCATCTCTCACCCAAAGCCTCAGGAGCCGGGATTTCATCCTCTGAGAAGTAGACAGCCACGTCCTGGTCCTCTGCCCCTGGCTGCTGCTGGTCCACAACCTCATCAGCATTCACCGTGAGGAGCTCAGCCCGGGCTTGGAGGGCCACCAGGAGCATGACAGCCAGGAGAGCGAGGGTCTTCATCGCTGGGAGTCACCTGTAGGATGGGAGAGCAGCAGCCTGAGTGTGGAGGAATGAGGGATTGGTCTGTATTGACGGGTCTGTAGAGGAGGCTCAGACACTAGGTGTGCAGTTAGAGAAGGTGTGTATCGGCAGGGAGGGTGAAGGCTGTCAGTACCCTCAAGGTGCCATAACAGTCCGCTGTTCTTACAGCTCCATCGTAACAGTCTCTGTGTTGAGCATCTTGTCTTTGCTGAATGCAACACTTTTATAAAGCTCAGCTAAATTTCCCATGTTATATTTGTTTGACTATGTTCCTTTTAATATTCAAGTCAGAAAAGAGTCAGTGAGTTTGTTTAATAAGATTAGGGAAAAATACTTATTTTTGGAAGCCCTGCTTCTTTGTGAAGGTCTGAAATCTGATCCCAGTGCTGAATCCTTGTGAGTAGAGCACTGATCATGCACTGGTCTGCATTGATTTCCAAAGTCATAAGGGAGGAGTTCAAGGTCATGAGGTGGGCAGGTTGCCACAAGTGAGAATCTGGAAAGGACAATGATTTTATTGGGCAGTAGGGTAAATGAACTTGGTGAGTACCACAAAAATAAATTCCAAAAGCCAGAAGAGTGTTATCTTTCCCCCCCTAATTGTATTGAAACAGGAGTGAGAATTAAAAATTGTGCATGAATGAAGTGTTCATTTATTAACAATTATACCCTCATCTCAAATCAAACCATAATTAAGCAGAAAGCATTTAAACACAGAAATTATACAACTACCTAGTGGTCACATACAAATAAAACTCCGTGTGGCTCTGGGGGGTGGCCTCATGCATATGGGAACAAAGTCCCTGGTAAAAAAAAAAAGTTAAGTTATCAGTGATGTTGCATTGATATCTGAAGTTTCTACAGAGCAAAGATTGCAATCTGCACAGCAAGAAGTAAACCAGGAAACAGCAGAAATTACAGACTACATTATCTGACAAGGTTTACCATCCAAATAACAGAAAAACTGCAAAACATCTGCTAGCATAAAACAGTGACCTGATTAAGAAAAATACCAAGGTTCTAGATCAATAATCAGAAAACTCAGCCCATCTGGAGCAGCCATTGTCTCCATGGGATTTCTTTAGTAGGATATTCGTGTTTTGAACAAGTCATTTCAACTTTTGCTGTTAACTCAGCTTGCAGTTCTTGTCTTCAGCAGTCACTCGAGCCCACCATCAGACCTGCAGCAGGGGGTCCACATGCATGGATTCCGCAAGGACAGACTCACATTTAGGGGCAGACAGAGGCTGGGCTTCAACAACAACCCTAACGTGAGAATTAAGAGCTTTTCAGCACTTACAGATCCGCTGGCTATGCAGGACGACCAGAGAGGAGCAGGCAGCAGTCCTCCGAGGCAGGTGTCTGGAGCAACAGTCCCCACACACATGCAGTGTAGGACTTCTCCTATTTAAGGATCGCCTCGGACATAGTGTCCTAATGTCTCAGGATAATTTCCTATTGTGTAATTCAAACAACTCGGGCCAGGACCATCGGGTGTTTTGCATGAAGCTGTGTTAAAACAGGGCTCAGAAAGAGGATTTTTTCTTTTTTTTTTTTTTTGCCTGTCTTGGTCATCCTTGCCCATGCTTGGGTAGCAATCACTAGTTTTTTTGTGCATCTTCTTATCAAGAAAGTATCAATGTCTACTGGAAAAAGATCAAAGTCTATTGGAGACCAGTAGATGTAAAGGTTGGGTCCATCTTTCACAGTACCCACCTTGTCAAACAACTAGGGTGGAAGCATCAGTGCCAACACAGAGGACCTGGGATCCAGTTGTCCATCAGCCTTCTCTGGAACTGAAGTCTATGAATAAAGACAAGTCAAATCCATTGTGTGGGGTGATGATGTTGGACAACCCCTGGGTGGATGATAGATGATGTGCCAGTGAAGAGATGTGTAGCTAATGTCACACTTTTTCAGGACTCTGGGCTGTTGATGTGGGAACACTGTCTTATACATGAAAGAAATGAAATTCTTCTTGTTTCAGTAACAAATGGATCAGGAATAAAACAGTTTAGTGACATCTGAAACAAGGACCCATGAGATTGATGCATGAGGGTTGAAACAGAGGCTTTCAGGGTGAGGACTCAAAGACACGATATTTAAACCAAATCTGTCTAGACTGATGATCCATTCTGGTCCCAGTAAGGCAGGAACACCCACCCCATCCACAGGCACAGAGTATGAGTTTTGGAGGGTGAGGTGTCAGTCTGTGAAGGACTGGGAGCTTTAGGATGAGAGATGAAGTTTCCCCACATTCCCCATCACAAGGAGAGATGAGGCATCTCAGGGCTTCTCCTGGTGATGTCAGACCCACAAGGTAGGTGTCACACCAAACAGAGTAGTGAGTTTGTGTGGTATGAACTCAGCAATGTCAGCATTTGAGGAAGAGGGGTCATGTCTCAATCCAGCAAGAGAACAAGCTTAGGGGAACAGTGACCCAGGTTATGGTTTTAAGTTTCACTAACTTAGTAGTGCATATGGGACTATGCGACTGTATATGTAGAGATAAAAAGGGAATGGTGCTGTGTCCACTTTGGGCAAGCTCCATGCTTGTGGCACTCCCCAGTGGCAAAGGAAGTTATAATAAACACAGTTTCTTTGTTCATAGCACACTCTGCAGTCCAAAAACATTTTCCCATTAGGTAAGAAAGAGAGAGATAATGGAGAAATGTTCATATTTTCATACGAGTCACAGGTCTCTGCAATCCCTTTATGTTTTGAACCCACAATCTCTTCTCCTCCAGTATCTTTAAGGGTATAGTAGATCATTGTGATATGCAGCCATTCTGTTATACTGTGGGACACTGGAAATTATTACTCCTGCCTCATGGTGTGTTGTCTGGAGTCACCTTGGATGTGAGGAGAGCAGGACTCCGAGTGTGTGCACAATGTGGAGTGTGTATGTATAATTTCTGGGAAGAGATTGTGAGACAAAGGCTGCAGTCGGGGGTGTGCACTCACTAGGGAGGGGAGGGCTGCTGCCTCCGGGTGCCTTTGATGTGCTCAGTCCTTACAGCTCCATCACAGCAGAAGTCTGTGCTTACTGACAGTTCTAGTTTCAAGTTGATAATACAAATGGAGGCTTTGATCTATTGACCCATCTGCCATCTGCTTCTGTGTTTACTGATGAATAATAAACTTGAAAGAATTATTACATTTATCAGGTTATGGGAACAAGGCTTCTTATTTTTTAACATGGAGACTGATACTGGATGTCCATCTGAACCTAAAACGGTGAATACAAATTCATGCACATGTCCTGGGTCTTCACCCTCTCGGGGAAGACGTTGAATTCTGGGGTTGTATCTTCTTTTGACGTCAGTGTGAAGAGCTAAATGTTCTCATCCTGCTTCAGGTGTCAGTAGCTCAATGTGACTGTGAGTACAGAGAAGGTCAAATTGACAAAAGGCCCCTTTTGTATCAATACTTTCTAACACATCGAATGAAATGTGTTAGACACATATCTCTGCTCTGAGAAATTATAAAACCTTTGACCAAATGCCTCCAGTCATTTTATATGATTCATGATTTAATTTTAGTTGTAGATGTTTACTTTCAAAACCTCTACAAAGACAGAAATTCAAAGGAACAAATACCAGTCGGCTTCTGTCCTTGCTCTCAGCTTTTAGTTCTACTCCAGATCTAAAACCAGCAAGTTCCACTTTCTCTGCACTCTTCCCATGATGCAAGAACTTCAGCACTTTGTATCTCCAAACCTAAACAGAACTGTTACCACTTTTAAGAAATGTATAATAATGTACTTTTTACATAAGTTACCATCTGAGTACCTTTGAGTTGAAATGTTTCGTTTTTAACAATGTGGTTTTTCTTGAGTGCTTTAATAACAATGAAAGCACTTTCCTATTATTGATGATAACCAGGATAACACTAGTAGACGTGTTGGGTTGAGCAATACGTGCGTTACACTTTGGCGATGCGACCACTTTGTCTTCCAATAGAGGTTGTCCCAACACTGCTTAGAAAAATACACTCATCTGTCACCTCCTCCCATGTGACATGGAATATTCTTCTAAATGCTAAATTACCTAATTCCTACTATCCCTAATTCCTGCTTTGCTCTGCTTAAAATATTTCATGTCCAAGACACTTTTACTAGTAGGAGTTATTGCAACAGAGCTCTGGCCAATAAAATGTAACCATAAGCAATCTCCCCTTTATTAATAATAAGATTTTTGTCTTTGCTGCATACTGTGATCATTTAAATGTGTTGTTCCTTATTTCATGTGAAAACTTAAGTAATTAAGTGCTTATCATTTTCTGAAGAAAGACCCCGATACTCTTGGGTGGTCAGATACCTGGGCCAGTGTTGGAGGGCAATGGAGTGGAATATTAATCAACGTGGGATTCAGCAGTTAGCATTTGGTCCAGCAATGAGATACCCTTGTTCCAGATAATAATTGTTAAAATAATTTAATGTCTTTTTCCAGATGTCTACCCCAGCTTTCTGTCAGTACAGACTCTGGGGTCCCCACTTCATTCTGTCAACAGCCTGGTCACTGCAAATGCCTGGGAGAACAAGCCAGCAGGTGACGAGTCTCTTGTGTTTCTGTCTTTCCTATTTCTTTGTCTCTATTTCTCTGCCTTCTCATTCCCTTTATCTCTCTCATTCAAATAAGTTTTAATAATCATTTCAGGATTCAGGAGAATATTCTTCCACATAAAGCAGGTTTCTGAGGTTCAGGGGTGAGGTTAAGGTGTTCCTATTGGATGACTACACGGTCATGATGATGAGTTCATTGGAATGTAATGAAAATGTCCAAAATAGAACGGCTCATTTGACTGAGATAATGTGACAATTAAAGCTGGTATATGCCTGATGGGTACAGACTGGTGGTGTTATATAAGAGCACATTGGGGGGCCCAGAGTGGTTGCCTTGTGGCTAAAGTCCTCACCTTGCTCATGCCAGGATCCCATATGGACACTAGTTTGTGTCCTGGCAACACTGCTTCCCATCCAGCTCCCTGCTTGTGGCCTGGGAAAGCAGTCGAGGACGACCCAAAGCCTTGGGACCTTGCACCCAGGTGGGAGATCAGGAAGTAGCTCCAGGCTCCTACCTTGGGATTGGCTCAGCTCCAGCCATTGTGATCACATGGGGAGTGAATAATCAGAAGGAAGATCTTCCTCTTTCTCTCCTCCTCTCTGTATATCTGACTTTGCAATACAAATAAAATAGATCTTTTTTTTTTTTAAAAAAAGAGCACATTTGGTTCTTACTTAAATTATAGACAAAGCAAATCAGGGTAGGATAAAGACCTAAAGGTAGGAATTAAAACTTTAACAGGACTGAAATTATATATGGGATAAAATGTCTTGATGTTGATACGGGCCATGATTTCTTAGGTTTTAGATTTCATTTAGACTTAACATTGTTGGCATAGACAACAAAATAATGAATATGAGAGCATGAAATAAAAACTTCTACTCAGCAAAGGAAACAATAAACTGAGTGAAAGGGCTATGTAGGGAAAGATTTGGAAACCATATGTGCAGCTCAGAGAAAATATTCAAGATGAGTAAGAAACTTAAATAACTTCTATAGTAAGAAAATATGTAACAGTCAGAAATAGGCCAAGGACCTGGATAGACTGGGTGCTCGAAGTACCAGTTGTGGCCCCTTCCTCTCTCTGTCTTGAGATTTATCAAATACCTAGAAATGTCACAAATATTCTTGAGGTTTTTCTTCATGTTTCTTTAAGTCAGCTCATTCATCTGACACAACATTCTCACGTGAAAGTTGCCCTTGTCTCCATCCCGGAAGTTCAATTTTCCTGGGAATACTCCCACTATGGAGAATTACACATTCTTGTACAGATTGCTTATTGCTTCTAATGTGTTCTAAGAGATCTTTTAAAGTCACAATATAACAGGTTGCCTCACTGGTTTGAAGAACCGCGTAATATCCAAGTATCCATCCATGTCGTAAGTATTTAACCATTTTTACTGATCACATTGAAACACAGATATAATTTTGCTATCACAAAAGCAGCTTTGGTGAACATCTATCTATATTTATATGTATATAGGCATACATACACACAAAAACACATGGTTTTGTGTTTAGAACCAAGAAGCTGAATTTCTGGGGCAAATTTCAAACCTTACACATTCTAAATTTATTATCAAAATCTCCTCTATACATACCAACACTAACTGCCAGCCCTGTCACAGAGCCTTCAGAAGGCATTCCCAGCCATGTCTCATGTGGGTGCGGGGGGGCGTGTCTCTGACGGGATCTCACCTACCTGCTGGAGATCTGCTGGAGCATCTGTAGGAAGACATCTATTCAAGTCCTTTGCTTGAATACACATCTTGATCACATAATGTAGCTTGCCACGTTTTCCTTTTGTTTAGTAAATTGCTATATT